TTATACACAGTAAAGTACACGCTGGGTTTCTGCTTGCTACGTTTTGGTTGATTAACCACATTAAAGCTACTTAACTCTCATCTCCAAGTGACAGGCATTGGAGCTAAAAAAATAAAATAAAAATAGAAGCGTTCACTGTACAATGTGTGAAAGCTGTACTCGGCCCCTGTGGTACCAGAAGCTCAGTCAACAACAGCAACACTTTAGCATCTGCATACAGATAATTAAGTTGCAGTAAAACCATTAGTTTTTTTTTTTTTTTGAAGGAGCGCATGATTGCTCAAGGGCAAATGTTGGGAATTGGACGTTCGTATACTATTAACAGCTTATCCACAATTGGCCAAAAAGTGACACTAAGTTGTGCAAAATTAGTTGAAGCATTAAAAAAAAAAAAAAAAAAAAAAAAGTAAAGCCCCGGTCACACCGAGTCACCTTTAGTCAATTTTCAAAGCTGAAAGCAGCCTCATTAGTAATGTCCCCGTTTATCAGCACAGGGCTTTTACAGCCACAGGCATGGGACGCTTTCCAACCCCAATTCAGCTGACGGAGGTAGAAAATTAGAAAACTGCAGCTTGCAAACGAACGAAACGGAGCAAAAAAAAAAAAAGGAGAGCGGTGAAATGATGAGAAGAAGGCGAGGAAAAGCAACAGATGAAAAGGTGAAGAGGGAGACAAAGATAGTAGAGGGAGACGTAGCGTGCTAAGTGAATTAACTCCAGCGGATAAGAAGCTTTGTGCTGACTGCCAACTTTGTTAATCCCCCCCGCCCCCCACCCCACCCCAATACACACACACACACACACACACACACACACACACACACACACACACACACACACACACACACACACACACACACATCTGGTCCACAGAGAATCGGAGCTCATGTATGAATGTGGATGTGGGAGTACCACAGGCCCATTATTTGTGATGCCTGCCTTCCTGCCTGTGTGGGCGCGTGCGTGCAAACATCCGCTTGCCGATACCTGTATTCTATTCATAATCTATGCAAGACTAGCACTACATGATCCAATGGTCATGGGGGAAACTGCAAAGTATGAGAAGCTTCAGGGCTTTTACGCTTCCTTCGTGGACACAACATTAGGTACAGCGGTACAACACTATATCCATCCACAAAAAAAAAAAAAAAAAAAAAAAAAAAAACCATATTATTCAGAAATATGTACTTGGGTCTAACTCGGGTCTAAAATGTGGCTGATGGATAGTCACCGATCAAACCTGTTGAGAATGCTGTCTAGTTGATTTGCCAGAGACTTAAATTAGCTGGTACACGAGTAAAAACATTATGGTGAGGTGCCCGTTCTAAATATTAACACCCTACTCGTTCCTCACGTCGACGCTTACTCATTTGTCAAGTGAACTCGTCTGTAAAGCCATCCTTGGCAAGACTTAGCTTTTTCTGAGCGCACCTGTCCACAGCTCCGGCAAATTCCAGCCGTCTGCCTCCCGACCTCCCCCTCATCATTCATAACTCCTTTGGCTGGAGCCCACTTGGCTGTGACGCTGCCAGACATTGCCATCGGCTCCCCCCCCAACCCCAAAAATCTCCCAAATTGATTCTTCATCCCTGCCTTATCCTTTTAAAGCAGGCTGATCAAAACTTTTGGTTCCGCACCGCCCACCTTGCATTTCTTAGCAATTTGAATTTCCTTTTGTCATTCCATCCCTATTCCAAAACTCAACCAGATTAGTTTGCCCCTCATGTGCTCACAGCAAATAAGAATTTATGCCCAGTCAACCCGCAGGATTGAACAAATATAAACAAGAAAATGACAATATTGCGTGGCATCATAACGAGAGCATTACTATAATTAAAAATAAACAAACCAAAAAAAAGAATCAAAATAGGCTCGGCTGCTTGTACCTGAGGCTCAGTCGATGCGAAGCACGTCTCATCATAGAAATGCCACCAGCAGCATCGAGGCCATTGCACTGAAAAATACATTTTATTCACCAAAGCGTCCGGCAAATTGATTGGATGACATATTTCATAACTACAATTTAAAAGATTCATTCAAACAACCTTGAACATTGGAAAAATGAAATTCTGGCTCCACTTCCTAAAATTAAACTTGACCATTTCATAAAACAATTGAAGAAACATTACATTTACATCATTGTGTTACTCCTTAGCGCAACTAGACTAAAAGTATATTTTCTGCAACAAATAACTGGTTTTCACTCAATCACATTCACCCCTCTGCAAAATTTGGACTATTCCACAATAGATTTGAGGATGAATTAATTTATTTTAAAAATGGAGGAATGGATGGGATGTAAACTACGCTGTACACGTACTTGTCTGTTTTCATTTATTCACCACCGGACTGCTAAAGCCACGTAGGTCCATCATGACATAACATTTCTCGTCTCGTCTAGTCTCCCCTCCCGCCGTTCTATGCTGCAGCAGCTGCGGCGTGGACAGACAGATGCTGATTAAACTTAATCGCATCAAAGCCACATCATGCGCATCCGACACACATACAGTATATGTACTCGTACACAGACGCGCAACAGCCAGCATGCGCGTACTTGTGTGTGTGTGTGTGTTATGGTTCAGTCATTAGTGATATTGCTTCTCTGCATCTGTTAGCCTAATCCGGTTCACGAGCCGGAGCCTGGATGATCCTTTTGCGGATCCGTGCACAGGTTCGGGTATTCCTGTCACTGAGCAGCGACTAAAACCGTTCCAACACATCAGCAGTGAGGGACTTGCGTCTTTGTTGCCCCACAAAATGTACATCACATTGTTAGTTTCATAAAATGAAATTAGCATCATTTTCAAATCGCAGTTGGATCATAGAATGCAAGTGTGATTAAGTTGATATCCAGAAATGAGATCATCCCTATTCAATACCTGTCATCTTACTTCCAAAAACATCATTCCAGCGTTAAGATCTACAGTTCAGGGGTGAAGTTGCAAATTCCCCCAGTGAACTCTGAACGTCCCCAAAGGAGACGTGAGATGTAATCATCAGACTAATGATTCAAACGAAATGTTTTTTTTTTTCTTTTCTTTTAAATAACAATTACAAAAGTTATAGAGAAGAAAGGGCAGCGCGCACAGATAAGGTAAATGTGCTCAGCCCTTCGGAAAAGTAAAGGCTCCATGGTAATTTCCTTGTAGAAATAGCCGCTTCCACGGGCGGCGGCGGTTAGTGAGATAGATGGTCCGGCTGAGAGGTGGGAAAAGTACACCTCAGCACTTTTGGACTTTATCTATTAAAGAGGTAATATTGCATGATCAAGTGGTGGTGGTGGTGGTGAGGGGGTGGGGGGGGGCAGTCACTCACATCCAACTTGGCCTCCCTTCCCCTCTTGCTCTCTCTCTCTCTCTCTCTCTCCTCCAACTCCGTTTCTGTCCATCATGTTGACTAATGAGCGTACCGTTTCCACTTCTGTCTGATGGTCACGGTCCTTCCCGAAGACGCACGCAGTCGGGGCACGGTGCCAAACACAAATACCAACGTGACGACCGCGCGGCCACGGTTAAATTATTTGTCGGCTTCAAAACGTGAGGGCTGTTTACAAGTCATGATGGTCAGAGGTCAACTATAAGCTCCCTCCAGATGTTTGAGGCGGCCTATAGCAGCGACTAAATCTGGATCACATTAAGAAGTGTTGTTTTATTATTGTTGTTGTTGTAACTCCTTTTAAAACCACTGCTGGTTGGTTACATCCATCCATTTTCTATAATGCTTTTCCTCAATAGGTGCCATGTACCTGTTAGATGTTAGTTGAAGGTTACATCGATGCCGATTTCTATGAGCATGTCTCTACATTTTGGATCATGTTCGCAAAGATTTTGTGAGACAAAATTTTGTGGTTTGTTTGAATGTAAAATATCAGAACGATTTTGTATTTTTTTTTGGTAGTCTGACGCCATTTTTCACGCAGACTATTTTGTTTTTCTCTTTTCCTGTTTTCGTCTCGGACTGGAGAAAACCTTGACTAAGAACGTGTTCATTCAACCTGCATGTTTTCTGACGAAGTGAAGCTGAACAATTAATGTCCTTTTTTCTTTGTTTTTTTTCCCCCTTTCATTTGCCAAATATGCGGTTGCATGGGTGAGCCAAACAACCCAGCAGACAGTGATGAAATGAGTGAGACCGTGTTGAATATGAGTATAAATAAGATTAATTATAACTATTCAAGCGACACCCAATGCAACAATGATTCCAAACCACAATGAAAATTGGTTTGGTGTGTGCATTCTCTTTCCTGTATGTGAGCAAAATGCCCAAAATGGATGCACATGCGTTTTCATTGTCCTCCAAATGATACTTTTGTTGTGTGACCATCAAACATTTATCATAAAATTGTTACATTTTGGTTTTATTAAAAAAAAAATAAGGTTGTTGCACAGAGTCTTAATAGGTTGGGATGAGTTGACTTAAATATGAATTTCATAAGTAATAGAAACACAACAGCATGTGAGTACTACCCCACTGTGCTTAAGTGGATGAGCAACAATAAGCACTTTGCGGTGGAACAAAGACAATAGGTGCAGTCGCCGGGCATTCTTGTATCACGCTCAATGTTTTGTCCTCTCTCTAAAATCTTTTGTTGTGAAAAGATCAACTGCAATGGCAAATACCTCCGCCAAAGCAAACCAAAGTGTAAATTGCGCACCATGTTTGTTTGTTGTCACATTCTTCTGGGTTTGGATGTGTCACGCATGTATGATTCTGAATACAAACCTGACTTTTTGGGTTGATTCTTCCGGAAGCCTGCGTTATCTCCTCTCCTTTACAAGTGTGCTTTTTTTTTTTTTTTGTAACGAGAGTGGTGCAGGGAATAATGAAACTTGTCTGGAACAATACAGTGGCTTTTGAAAGCAGAAGAGTGTATGATTAGCATAATAAGTGACATTTCAATTGGTGGAGAGCAGGCCTATCAAAAACCAGCGCTTTGATAACAACCTGGAATTAATGTTGTGGATAATGGAGTCTGGGTGGAAAATCAAAAGGAGAAGGGGGTCAAGGAGGGCAGTGTATTTATTTTTCGAAAAAAAATAGAAAAAAAAAGTCAGTCAGGTGTTTAAGAGGCAGGAAAGGAAAGACGTCACGAGAAGCACAGCGTTGTTTCGACATTTCGTTCTGTCTTTCTTCACTTCTAGCCAAGCGCAGGACTTGCGTAGGAAGAGGCGGCTGCAGGCAAAAGAGTGTAAGGGCGGTTGAGAGAGGGGGGCGGAGGGGTTTGACACTTTCATTTGTACTTTTAAGGTCTCCTTATTATCACCTTTCAAGAGAAACCCACTCTATTCTTACAACGCTCTTTTCCTCTCGCGCGGCACGCAAGTTTTTATTCTCTCTCGCGCTCACTCTCTCTTTTTCTCTGCTTGATTAATTATAAGGGGATCAGAAAGAGTGAAAAGAAGAGATGGAATTTCAGCTCGTGAAGAATAAAAGGAACCCTGCACCTGCATGTTCACACACAAGTTTGTCTTAGTGTGTTGTTGAACTATTTCAAGAGTGTGGCCAACACCAAACCTTGGCTCTTGAGCTGAATTTCCACGACACAACCAATTGCAGTTTCAAGCCGAATCGATTGTGTTGCCATTTCCATGTACATTCCAAATGACACCTATCCAATAGGGTTGTTTACAATGACGCAACACATGAACCGACCTGTTTGTGTCATGAGCGTGGTGGTGTGGGATCCCAAAAAGCAGGAGGGAGGGAGGAGCTGGGTGACCTTGACAAACTGTATGAACAAAACAATGAGAAAATCCTGAAAAAAAAAGCCGTAAAAACAACAAGAATCCAAAGTAACTAACAAAAATGCATACCAGTAGCAGAAACTCAACCATCGAGTGGTCGGCCCGGGAGTCCTTTTAACAGAGAACCTACTGATGACATGATGACAAACAGGTGTGCCACCGTAGGAGGAGCCCTACAGAGCCACCTGCTGGTCCCAAACAGATCAACCTTGACAGTTTGCGCCCAAATTGCACTTAAATAACTCCACAACTGTCAACATTGGGCAGCGGAAGCATGGTTGCGCCAAAATTATTCATACAATTAAGAAAAATGATTCTCGTTCATGGCTCACACCACTCACGTACACTCACCAGGCCCTGCCTCTTAAAGGCGCACATGCTGCAGTACTTGCTTGCAATTGTTTCTCATTCAGAGGATAAAAGCTTCTCTTTTTGATGCACTTGCACTTTTTACATTAAAAAAAACCAAATCAAGTCGGGTTTTTTTGGTACACCCCTAACTGTCACCATACATTGCTTGTATCTCAAACTTGACGCTGTGAGCCCCCCACACCCCACCCCCTTCATTTTTTTCTGATCATCTTTTAATGCAATCCTTGAAACACTTTGACATATGCACATTCACCTCTTTTGTGATGTGATCAGACACCAATAAGAGCAAATCTCATTAACATCAAACTACTTCAGCGCTAATCAGGTTACGGCGCGAGCAGCAAGCCAATGGCGGCTCCTAATGCCATTAAGGCGAGCCGTGATTGGATTGGGATCTTATTTCGACTTCCTGAAGGCTGCCAGCATTTTAATCAAGCAAGCACGGCCGCAGTGATGTCACGGGCCGTTAGAACAGCGAGAGAGTGATGTCACAGCTCATTAAGATCGTAAGGATGTTGGTGGGGATGAGTGGAGCGGATTGATGCGTTTGAGTCGATGCGCGCCTAAATAGACATACTTGGGCTTCATACAAAATATACGATTTTGCAAAGGTTTAGAGAGCGGCTGAGTGTCCGCCGAAGCCGTAAATGTCGAAGCTGCGAGGACCATGAAACATACATAACTGAAAAAGACAATGCTACTGGAAACGGAATAATTTTCAGTGAATTAGGCCAGTCTTCTCTCATCTTAACACCCAGTTGGAGTACTTTTCTGTTCGATTCTCAACAAGAGCATTGCAATAGTTAATTGGAATGACATTCAGGCTGCTTCTTCCTCGGAATTGTTAGTGAGTCGAGCTCAGTCGTTGGGCAAAGCGAGAATGAACTAATCCTCTGTGCTGGTTTTATGGATTTTTTTTTTTTGTGTGTGAGATGAACTGACTCTCCCAGGCGTATTCAATTAAAAGTTAAAGAGATCCATTTAATGGAGAAATTGGACATGAAAGGAAACAATCACTTTTTTGTCATTTTTGGTAAAACTGTACATTACTATAATCATCTGTTGAAAAAAAAACTCAGTCAGTGGTCCTATTTTGTGCCTCAAATTTGATTTTTAACGCTTTTGATGCCAGCCATTTAGAAAAACATTGAGTGCCACCCAATTCAGTTCAGGGTGTCGTTTACCTTCTGTCCGAAGTCAGCTGGGACAGGCTCCAGCAACTCCCCCTGACCCTGTTCAGGATAAGCGGTGTTGAAAATGGAAGGATGGATGGATGGATGGATGGATGGATGCTATTTAATAGTCGTAGTATTTAGTAGTGTGTGCGCGTGCACGTGCGCGTGCGTGCATCATGACAAGCATGTCTTACATCCTCGCTTCTACTTCTAAATTTAGAATGTCTCCTGCTCTTGTACCGAAGTCCACCTGCACCTGAGAACAAGTGGAATAGAAAATTAATGCCTGAAGGACCAGAAATGTTGATAAACAAGTTAAAATAAAATTAGCATAAATCCCCAAAGTTGCCTTTGTTGTCGGGGTCCACCTATTGAAAACCTCTGTCAGTCACAAGATGGCCACCCTATCAAGCACACTTACTGGCCTCGCGACATTAAGTTAAAACAAAGCATTGTGGAACGTTTCATCAATTTAACCTGGCCAACCCTGTTGGAGCCACTCCATTCGTTCTTTGATTCTCCCCTCGATCGTCTCAATTTGAAACGGCACGACGACGTCGATCGGCTCTCGCTCTCTCTCCGCCGGCTCTCCCGCTGCAGATCGATGGCGAGGGCGAAAAGCTAATGACCCATCTCGGCAACCAATTCACTCAGCGCTACCTCGCTCAGTACCTGTCCAAACCTGTGAGCGGCAAAGAAATGGGAGCGTCTCGCCCTAACTCGCAAAGTGAAAGCTTATTGAGGAGAATCAGGACCGATAACAAAAGCCAAATGTAGACTAATTTTCAAGGCGTGGATGAATTGCCATCATCGCGTAAGCCTCTCTGTATTACCTATAAAAATACCATCCGCTTGATTTAGGCTATTGAATTATGACATTAATGACAATGTGTGAGTTTTATTCGGGTACCTCCACTTCCTCCCAGATTTAAAAAACATTAGGTGCATTGAAGATTCAAAGGGGTTGGGTGGGGATTGGATCTTCCACCATCGATTCGGCAAAGCTGAATCCCAAGGTAAAGAGCTTGAAGCTGAAGTGTGCCCGCAAGTGGATGGAAAATGATTGACACTTTGTCAGGTACGCCTTCTGTCTCTGAGTGGTTGTTTTTGTGAAAATCAAATTATAGGAACAGATGAATTCCAGACCATGCCATGCTAATGGTCAGTGTGGTGGGGAAATAAAGCTTTGTTTTGTAAATACAGACAGATTACGTCTCCAGACAGTGCTACATATTCTGTGGATCAAGTCGGCTTTGCAAACAAACGTCTCGTGCGAAACACCAACATTGTAAAGAGAACAGAAAATTTGGGGCTGGAATCATGTTTAATGAATGCACATAGCGAGAGAAAACTACCATACATGTGTTTATATGACGTACGGAAACGGAATTGCTGCACATTTGTGTTCAGGTGTGAAGAGACTCAATAAAAAAAAAAAAAAAAACACTCCATCGGCTAAATATATTCCCAGCGCACACTGATGACAAATGATCTATGCAGCACAATTTTGTCACGCCCGAATGATCATGTTGCATCAAACTTTTCCCGCCTTCCTATCTCTTGAACTTCCCGCCTGCTTATCCAACCATCCATCCATCCATCTCCTCGCTCCCCTTTAGTTAAGCTCCAGTGCCTATCGCATCTGAATTCATTTGCGCCTCAAGAGATGATCACTTGTGTTGTTCTCCTGTGTGTGCGTGTGTGTGTGCGTGTGTGTGTGTGTGTGTGTGTGTGTGTGTGTGTGTGTGTGTGTGTGTGTGTGTGTGTGCTTGTGTGTTTCATGCATCATCAGCGCTAAATGATTATAAAGCACAGTTATTAAAAACTGCCATAATTACCACCCCTTTGGCAAAAACAGTCTGATATGAATTTACCTCTCTTGCTCTCTATGGGAAAACAAACTCAAAAATTTATGGTCACACACACACACACACACACACACACACACACACACACACACATCCCCTGGCAAGAGCAAACAGAAGCCTAATGTCATTTGTCACGTCCTTTCTGGCACACCGTCAATGACAATTATAAACCTTCTAACACCAAATTTGCATCTTAATACATCACTTGATCTTTTGGGGGGAGCATCCAGTTGTGAAATTTGCAGTTTCAATCAATCTACCAGAGAGCAATTATCTTTTTTTTTCTTCCCTAAAATACTTGTTTTACTCTCAGTATAGGTGATTAGCGCCTTGCTTTTCTGCGCGTTTAGCAGCCGCGTCAACAAAACCTGTCGTCAAAAACTCCCTCGACTTTAAAGGAGACGATATTTCGTTGTCTGCCTACGAGGGGTGTTGGAGAACTTGAAATTTGTTGATGTGTCCGTGAGCCACGTACATCCCCTTAAAACTAGCTAATTTCAGCAACACAACAAATCCAGTGTGTCAAGTGTGCTATCACTTTGGATATTTTAAGCAAGGTCACAGATAGTTTCTTGAAACATCTGTTTTAAATTGTTTTAGAAAAAAAAATTCATCATTTTTCCTTGGAAAGGAATTCCCCACAAGATATCTCAATTCACAAAGGTATGTGTTTGTCAGTGCTCGTTTTGAGCCAATATTCTTCAAACCTTCAGGGATAATCCTGTAGTCTGTTCCAAACCCAATTATTGATTTTGAATTACATCTGACCGGGTGGCTGAGGTTTCTGAGGTGAAAGGTCAACTCAGTTCATATTTATCACCACTCTAGCAGGCCAAAGACTCCCGTGCAGCATTTAGAATCAAATCTGATCAAATAGCCGACTATCAACCACGGTTTAGGCAATCCTCTTGAAACTAAAACTGTCAAGAATAACTGAGCATTATTAAGGTGATTATGAGAACAGCAGAAATTATCAATCATCGGGCATTTATAGATGAAGGGCTCAATAACTGAGTTGCGTCATGATTGAATGCAAGGCGATTAATTCGAGATTGCGGCGCGTGTTACCCCTGACGCCAGCAGTTATAAAAACACCATTGCATTCATTGATCCGTCTGAAGCAGCAGCGCGCTCCGATTCCGCGGAAGACAAGGCGGATTAGAAAGCACGATGCAGGCCATCAAAGCAATCAACGCCGCAATATCTTTCGCTGAAGGGGACCGCATCCTCAAATTGAGTCAAGAGACAGATCGGGTTGATGCGTGTCCATTGTGGAAAACCATTTGAGCATTGGTTCGGTATTTTGGCTAACCGACAGAAGGGCGGGGCCCTCGTCGGCTTTTCGGGCCTTTTGGACTTTTTCTCATGACGCACCTTCATGCCAGATCGGTGTTGTGGGCGGGGCAACTCTCAAATGTGGGCGTTCCCTGTCAAATCTGGAATGATGCTCATTCTCCTATCAATCTAAGCACTTTTTCTGTTTGGCGCCTCAAAGGCTGTGACGAGTTGAGCGTGAAAAGAATTTCTGGATTTAAAGGGTCTTTTTTTTTTAAGAGTTTTCTCATTGTGCAGGACGAGTGTGAACTCACTTTGCAAAAGTAGACACTTTCACTGACTGAAAACGCATTCATGATGTCATTATCAAAAGCTCCACGGACCGTGCTCATGTAAATAAAGGCTTCAAGGATGTA